CTTTTTCACCGGGTGTAGCATCGAATAAATCGTATTAGGAGTATGTATCTCCGCCGAATCAAATTTTAGTTACAATGTTTGGACTTTGGATACATCAATTTATTTTTTTATGTATAAAATAAACTATTAATTTTTTTTTATCCGGTTTTAAGTAGAAATAGTAACAGTATTAATTAAAATATTTAGAGATTCGATAAAACGAAAATAGTAGAACAATGAAAGAGTACAATTCAAAAAAAATTAAATAAAGATTTTCTAAAATTGACTTTAGTTATAAAAATAAATTGCAACATACAATGCAAGTGATGCAGGCTCGATTGCCCTAAAGTCCAAACAATAGGAAACCCATACAAAGTCAAAACGCAATTGAAACCCACTCTAACTTTGTCCACTAATATTTTATAAAGTTTCTCACTAGTCTCACGTGGAGCAGGTATAGACGGTGGATGTGACTACATTCGACCTAATGTCAAAGACAGAGGTGGAAAGCCTGCACCATGACTGACCGAGAAGAGGCCCACTTGAGGCATGCGACCACATCAACAGACTCTCCCCATAACTGATCCAGACCGCGAGTTATGAGATAGTTTGCCCTTAGCAGACAAACGCAGTCCGCAGTGGTCATATGACTCCCATGTGGGCACAATGGGGGACACACAACCCATTCCTTATGGCATAATCGAAATATGACTTAGGTATTCCTAATACACACTCATTTTTCCTATATTTCCCTCTCTGAATACACATATATCGTTTTTCCACCTAATCCAACTTATTTGATCGTCGGAGTGCTAATGTTGGAAAACTCTTGCCAAACACTCCTTTTTGCAAATTTCTCGAAACATGTGGCAATAAAACTATAACAAGGGTCCAAATGATATAATATCACATCTTATACGATAGATTGGTGCCACGAACATTATAAAATCACCTCACCATAGTATACAGACAAACATTATTTTCATTCTCAAAATAGAGAATACTTTATTACATAAATGAAATGGAAATCTATCTTCAAAATGCTTGCAATATTTTGATCCCATTCCACATCTTTATTATTAAATATTAATAATAAATGCCGTTTATTCGACTTATGAGAAACCACACAAACAACTCAAGACAAGAACAAAAGGACCAAATTAAAACTTTTTCACATGGACAAGTGCTCCTTGTTTGTTCCCAGATTCAAGCATTGCATCCATCACCGCTAAATCTCGTGCACCTTCGATAAAAGACATACGAGCCTCAGCTTCGAAGATGCTCTCTTTCTGCAAATAAATAAAAGTCGAGGGGTCACTACGATATTACCAAAAGTACGTATTTTCATGCCAAAACTGTAAAAACAAGTTTTTTTTACAAATCTTGCCACTACTACTTACCTTCAGGCTTGCTTGTGTAACATCACTGAAAAATATTTTGAGCTCTTCAGTCACGCCACTGAATCCCGGGTAGAAATTGCTCTTTGTTTGCCCGTCGGCCGTAAAAAGCGTGACCTGTGATATAAATGCAGTATTCACTAGTGATTAGTACTATTTAGATATTCTACTTTTAAAATACGGTATTTAATTTCATAACGAATTCCATTTTTTCAAAATACTAAATTTTACCAAGTATCCAAACTTCCCTTCTCTACTCTCCACATCGATTTGAAATGTCCCGTTTAAGCCCACAACTCGCCAGAATAACTACTTGAACAAAGAACATTAGCGATGCGATGCAATGCAATGATTAAGACACAGATATTATATTCGCAGAGGAATATAATTTAAGACTCGTAATTACTTCATACGTACCTTGAGTGTTTTTGCAGACACAACAGTTACCAACACTCCCGATCGCCCATTCTCCAGTTGACTTAACGGGAACAAGAAAAATTTAAGGGCATTTTTATTTATTTATTAAATAATTTTAAATAAGAAGAAATTATTATTAAATTGAGAAACTTACATTAATGAAGACATGCTATCAGGTGGAGGCAAGGTGGTATCGACATTAGAAGTCATGGCTGAGACTGAAGTTATCTCACATCCAGCCATCTTTTTTCATCGTTAATCGTAAAAATCAAATAAATCTATTTACGAAGATTAAAAAAAATATAATAAAAAATAATAAAAATAAAGAGAGACTAGCCAGCTCACCATCCTCAATGCTGCAATAAAATGTACTCCCATGTCGAGAATGTAACCCCCCTGAGAAAACATCGAGATTTTTCAGAACACGGCAAAAATGGTAAATTGCAAATAATCCCACAAAAAAATGTTATATTTCATTACGGAAATGTTTAACTAAATTTCTTGTTGCTGTTTTTTTTTTAATCGAAATTAGAGCAATCGGAAAATTTTACTAACGGCAAAGCTGTGCCTCCAAGAACTTGAGAAGTAAGGGCTTGAGCTATTCATCGGAACTTCCACAATGATTTGAAAATTCACCATTTCTCCGATATCACCCATGAGTTTTTTGCCCTGCAGTCATTTGGACAACAATATATTAATAATTAAATAATAATAAATGAAGCAATCAAGCCAAAAGTCTAAGTTTGACACGTATGTACCTCCAAAAAAGCAGGTTCAAAACGATAATTCTCAGCAACTGCCCAAATTGGTTTAGAAGGCAAACCGGTACTGGTAAGAGAGTTATAGCTTGACAATGCAGTTTCCACTTTGGTGATGGCTGAAGAAATAATGTATCTACGTCATTCATTATTAATGATTCTTTCGCAAATTGATTATCGGGAAGTTTAGAAATAACATAAAATCTGATTCGGTTATACTTACAAGCTGCTGCTGGTTTCTCTTCATAACCCAAGCAACGTGTGTTACATACATGCACATAAACACGAAAACTGTTTAGTTTACTACATGCAAACAACAAGAACCTCAAACGTTTATAACAGAATTATTGGAATATATGGCATTCGAATTCGTAATCAAGGGTCGAGTTTCTTATATAGTTTCGGTTGTACAGAAATAATTTTTATTTTTTTTATTTACGTATTTCGACAAATTACCTTGAAGAACATGCTTTCCACTCTTCAAAATCCTTAAGGACAGATCCACCTGCAAGAAACACTCAACTTATGTATGAACTCTTAAATCATTACAAAAATCAAACCCTTAATTATCGTAATTTTAGAATGCAAAGCGGCAAATAAACATTAACTAACTGAACAGCAAGTAAAATCAGACATAAGAGAGAATATGATGCCTGAAATTGGGCAGCAAGAACAACAAGCACAGCATCAATGGAAGAATCTTCAATGACGTCATCAAGACCATCATCACCCCATTTGCATTCCACCTCCGGGAAAAACTCTTTCGCAATTTCAACTGCACCTTTCGCCGATTCCTACAATATTACAACCATAATTCTTCACAAAATCAAACACAAACCTATCCCAATTTCACATAGAAAATAACTAAAATCCCTAATTTTTTAAAAGTGAAAACCCTAAATTGATTGATGCACATATATTTGATTGTACCTCAGTGCGGCTCCAGATAGCTTTGAGACTGAAGAGTTGGGAGATTTCAGACAACCTCGGAATGTATTCTGTCCGGACAAAGATTCCGGCGCCGAGTATGGCTATCTTCGGAGACCCCATTTCAATTTTATTTTATTTAATTTAATTTTGAGTGGGGCAAATGTGAAATTCCTAAACAAAGTTTTTTTTTTTGCAGAGTGTAGATTATTGAATTCCGAATGCTGTTTCGTATGGTGGCGTGATTGAGTTTTCATTGTCGATGATGGTGATTAGTCGGTGAAGATATTTTTTTGGTTGATTCCCTGTTTTCATCATCATCGTACCAAACTTTTCTTCTTTCTTTTATGATATGATATATTTAGGCACGTGAGAAAATTCAAGTGTTAGTCCCATATACACGTGAATCGGTTAATTCATTATTCAGTTTGTTATTAATCAGTTAGATTTAAGGGTAAATTACAAACACTCCCTGAGGTATGGTCAAATTACAAAAACACCCCTCTTGTTTGGATAATTACAACTATACCCTCAACTCCTCAAATTTAGTGGAGTCTTCGAGATTATATGGAACATTATCAGTTTTTGTACCCGTTTTACTTTTATCCCATTCGAACTCTACATTTTGAGGCAAGATGATCATAATATGTGATTTTTAGCTTGTATATATCAGTTTGTGGTGCATCGAAAACTGTATTTTTACACAAAACGAGTACATACTAGAGCACATTCCACGGAATCTAGATGATTATGTTGATTTCGCACCATAAGGGTGGAGT